TCCCGAGGACACCCGATAGACCTGTTAAGTTATTGGAAACTTGTGTACGCTATCAGAGGTCTGTTGAGACATCGATAGGTGCACGTGGGCCCGATTTCTTAGAAGGTTCTACCACAGCTGGTATTAGAGCAGGTTCTATCTAAGATCATTGTAGGTTACTTTGGAAAACCTTCAAATTGATTTGGATCAAAGAAAGTAAACTTGATATTTTAAAGTTCAAATTTCTTTCTTCTTATCTCTGATCTAGCCTCAATCCTATCTTATTGGAAAGTTTGTGGTGGATAATATGATTAGGTTTGTCCTATATATTAAAAATCTAGTACTTTTGATTGTATAAATCTTTTGTACTCAGATTCGTAAGATCGATTCATGCATCATGCTTGAACACCTTGCATAATAATTCTCTTTAAAAGTGGTTGGGTAAGTAATGTCAATCCTATTCTTGCTAACCTCCATTATCCTCAAGCTATCCTAATAGTCCTACCCTAACTTCTACAGGCTATGGCAAAGACCAAGATAACCGCACGCAAGTCCACTGGACCTCACGGAGTCCCTTGTCACTAGTTGGCACCGCATAACCGTGAGCTTGGTGAAGGAAGTTCCAAGACTCTAGGAGATGAAGGATCTTCAAGCAATGCCGCCAACATCGAGAACCTTACCAAGGAGCTCAACACTCTTCGTCGAGCTCATGCCAAAGATCAAGAGAAGCTGGCGAAAATGCAAAGGGCCATCACCATGACCATGGAGCTACGGAATGAAGCCTGGACACGAGAGGATGCGGCCAACGAACGCATCCATGAGTTGGAGTTCTACGTAGAAGACCTGGAGATGGACAACGCCATTCTTCATGAGAATGTCCACATGATGTACGCTCAACTTCATCCTCCGCATGGGGATGGTGAAGTTACAGATGAAGAAATGATTGTAAATCTAGGAGAAGTCAAGAATGAAGAAGAGGAGGACCCTGAGGAGTTAGTGTACTTCTCAGATGAAGATGAGGTTTTGTCCGGTATGGACACGGACGCCGATGACTGAGAGCTTAGAGTAGAAATAGTTCCTTTACTGCTTTTCTAGTAAACCAGGGTTGTCTTGTGGGATACAGGACATGTAATATAAATAAGTAACCCTTTGTAGCATGAAACCTTTTTAACTGCTTTTAATAAAATAATAATAAATGAACGTGTCTCTCTAACAGATGCCTCGTCCTAACACCCGAACTGGTGCAAGTACCTCGCAAGACAATGATGATATCACAAATCCTCCACCAATGCCTTCGACTATGGCAGATGCCATAACTGCACTCGTCTATGCAACGGCAGAGAATGCTAGGTTGTTAAGAGAAATGGCTCAGAATCAACAGGCACCACACCATAATCATGGCCGCCGTAATAATAGAAATGACGAGTCAACCTATATTGATTATACTGACACCCGTCCGCCTATGTTCTCTAAGGCAGAAGAGCCTTTAGAAGCTGACGATTGGCTACGGACAATGGAGCAAAAGTTTGAGTTGATTCACTGTACCGAGATTCAGAAACCAAGGTTTGCGGCACAGCAACTCTGAGGAGCTGCTGGTGCCTGGTGGGCAAATTTGGTAGCTGTACAGCCCGCTAGTCACCAAATTATCTGGATGGAGTTTAAGGATGCCTTCAGGGCACACTATATTCCAGACGGTGTGATGACCATGAAGTTAGAAGAGTTCTTGGCTCTTAAGCAAGGGGAGCACCCGGTGATGCACTATATTAGGCGCTTCAATCACCTGTCACAGTATGCTATAGAGTATGTGAATACTGACAGGAAGAAAAATAATTATTTCATGAGAGGCCTGAACACTAAACTTCAGACCATGATGGCAACTTGTGGCAACGCAACTTATCATGAGACAGTCAACATTGCTATCGCTTCAGAGGAGAATTACCGCCGACACAAGGAGGCGAAGAAAAAGAGAGCATTTGCTTCTAGATCGTCGAGTGGAAAACGTCAAAAGATGGTCTACCATCCTCAGAATCATGGCCATGCACCATTCCGCCCACAACAAAGCCAAAGCAGGCAGCAAATCTTTATTCGCCCTGCAACTAATACGCCTTATCCTCATCAAGCACCGCAATAGCAAAATAATACAAATAATGCAAACCGCACTGCTACTCCCCAGAATCACAATTATCCATGTTATAATTGTGGTAAAACCGGACACTTTTCCCGAGAATGTCCGTATCCCAGGAAGAGTAATCCTAATGCATCTAAAGCCCCTGTTGCTCAAGCTCAGAATCAGTACAAGGGCAATGCTTAGAAAATGAAGAAGAAAGGTCAGCCGAGAAGAAAACTAGAAGGGTCTTCTATACTCGTGTGGAATCTATTCCGGAATGGAGAACCATAGAATGATTGGTATGTTTCCGCTGCTAAGCACCCTGCAATTACCTTATTTGATTCTGGTGCATCCCATACATTCATCAATCATACATTTGTTGTGAAGCATGGGATACCTATTGAAGAAACAAAAGAACCATATCATATACAGTCGCCCGGGGGACAAATCTGTACAAGGGAGATAGTTCAGCATATACCTATTGATTTGGGAGGACATGAGTTCCCTACCAACATGCTGATATTAAAGGATCAAGATATAGATATGATCCTTGGTATGAACTGGTTAACTCAACACAGGGCTGTCATAGATGTCATGCGTAGAACCATAAGGGTAAATGTACCTGGCAGCAAAACCCAACTTCTCATCCAACTTTCCTTTCCTAAGAGTACGGTTGGAACAGTCTGTGCAACTACTGTTGAACAAGCCGAGGAAATTCCTGTGGTATGTGAATTTACGGATGTCTTTCCCGATGATCTGTATGGTCTTCCACTAGACCGAGATGTGGAGTTTAGAATTAACCTAAAACCAGGAACGGTACTTGTGTCCAGAAGAGCATATAGGATGCCACCCAAAGAATTAGCAGAATTAAAAATCCAACTACAAGAGTTGTTAGACAAGGGTTTCATTCAACCCAGTTCATCACCTTGGGGATGCCCTGCTATCTTCGTGAAGAAGAAGGACCAAACCTTAAGGTTATGTGTTGACTATCGGCCATTAAATGAAGTCACCATAAAGAACAAATACCCCTTACCTCGAATTGATTTGCTATTTGATCAACTTGCGGGAGCTAAGGTGTTCTCGAAGATAGACTTAAGATCAGGCTATCACCAGATTAAGATCAGACGAGAAGATATGCCTAAGACAGCGTTTACTACCCGATATGGTCTATATGAGTATTTAGTCATGTCTTTTGGGCTGACCAATGCCCCGGCTCATTTCATGTACCTGATGAACTCAGTTTTCATGCCCGAGTTGGATAAGTTTGTAGTGGTATTCATTGATGACATTCTTATCTATTCTAAGAGCAAAGAAGAACATGCGGAACATCTCCGCATTGTTCTGCAACGATTAAGAGACTAGTCGGGTGACTTATCTTGAATGTTGGGTAATGTTGCCGACTATGTTGCTTAAAGGCCACTTATTGTGGATCTTCTGAACGAGACACTTTGTAGTACTGGTCACATACTCCGGTAAGCCTACTTCAGCTAATCCGATACTAAGACGAATGCCCACGCACTGGGAGTGGAGAGATGACGAGAGTAGCGTGTACCCTCATGGCTGGAATGTGGTCGGATTTGAGGTGTGTTGTGCTCTTGGGTGGCGTGGAGACGGCTTAGTATGGGAGGATCCGGTAGTGAGGTTGATATATGCAAGATTAAGTTCTACATATGTCGTGTGATAAGGAATCCCCAGCTGGGACTTGAATCAATTCGAATTGCTGGTGCTCCGCGGATATGGAGACTCGATTCATTACAGAAGTAATGCAGGACTGGTGAATTAATAAAACATGAGAAAAAGAATGGAATGAGAAGGATCGGAATATTGGATATGAACACTTAGTTTGAAATAATGAATTAAGAAGATTTAGGGGTATAAACTTGAAAATAGGATCGAGAATAGCAAGCTTTTGGTAAAGAACTTTTGAATCTTGCTACATCCTTACCTTGACCCAACACCTGCATCCCTAAGACCTTCGCCCCTTTTTCATCGGGTCAGTCTTGTTGAGTACTTTTGTACTCAGGGTTTGTTAACCCTTGTTGCAGGTGAGTCGCATGCGCAGGCTTGTTTTGGTCCCTGCTGCATGTCAGTGTTTGAAGTCGATGACGATGAGGAATGATGAATGGCCTTTGGACAAGGCACTAGTTTGTGTGAAATAAATAATGTTAATGTAATATTATCCTGCTACTATGGTTGTATGACACTTATGATTTTGTAAGTTTGAAACAACTAGTTTGTAATACTAAAACTTAAGTCTTCCGCTTTATGATCTCTGATATGTATATTGAAAACTGTTGTAATCTGCAATGTCTATGATTGTGATCCTGTTTGGAAAAGATTCGTGGATAATTCGGGTTTTCTGAGGACACCCGACAGACCTGTTAAGTTGTTGGGAACTTGTGTACGCTATCAGAGGTCTGTTGAGACATCGATAAGTGCACGTGGGCCCGATTTTTTAGGAGGTTCTGCCACACCAGCCATGTCGTCCCTACGCTAGCCACAACCACCGGTTTGGCCGGCCACCACAGACCACCTTCCCTTCTAAGTTTGTCGGGTATAGATGAACCTTCATGAAATATGCTAAGACCTTGTTTGGATCCATAGAACTAACAATTAGTTGATTAATTTTTAGTTCCTAAATATCAAATAGGTAGACTAATTGTTAGTTCAATAGTCATGAACTAGTTGTTAGATCACTAGTCCACTTATAAGAACTAATAGAACTAGCCGTTAGTCCATGGGATCCAAACATGCCCTGAGCCAAAGTACGTAGCGCACGTTGATTGGTTAAAAAAAATCGTGTTGGTGAAGAGACACTAGGTGAATACACATGCATAGCCTAAATAAAACAGCACTAAGGCTGTTAACCACCGCACCAGTCTCAGATCAAACCAAGCAGAAATCGCTGAGGAAAATGGCTTCCGTGAAGCAGAGCAAGAAGCTGCACGTCCTGCTCATGCCGTTCTTCGCTACCAGCCACATCGGTCCTTTCACAGACCTCGCCTTCCACCTCGCCGCGGCCAGGCCGGACGTCGTCGAGGCCACCGTCGCCGTGACCCCGGCGAACGCCTCAGTCGTCCGGTCGGCTCTCGCCCGACGTGGGCCCAGCGTTGCCGGCGTCGCTGTCGAGGTGGTGACCTACGCGTTCCCAGCCGTGGACAGCCTCCCGCCGGGCGTCGAGAACCTCTCGACGGTCGCGGACGCGGACGCGTGGCGCATCGACGCGGCCGCGTTCGACGAGAAGCTGTTGCGGCCGGCGCAGGAAGGTCTAGTCAGGGAGCGCGCGCCGGACGCCATCATCACCGACATGCACTTCTTCTGGAACGCCGACGTAGCTGCGGACCTCGGCGTGCCGTGCGTCACGTTTTACGCCATAGGCACGTTCCCGTGCCTGGCGATAACGCACCTGGCACTCGCCGGCGTCCACAACGCCACCGGCAGCGTGGTGACCGTCCCTGGGTTCCCAAGCCCAGACATACGAGTCCCCGTTACCGAGCTGCCAGAGTTCCTGAGGAGCCAGCAAATAATCCCTCGCGCCACCGGGGACCGGACCGTCTCTGCGCAGAAAAGCTGCCTCGGCCTCGCCGTCAACACTTTCTTCGAGCTGGAGCATGGGTACTGTGACATGTACGTGCGCAATGGCTTCGTGAAGCGCACCTACTTTGTCGGGCCCCTCTCACTGCCACACCACCGGTCGGAGCAAGCGCCGCCGGCGACGACTCACGGTGCATCCGTTGGCTGGACACGAAGCCGGCCCAGTCAGTGGTGTACCTATGCTTTGGCAGCCTGACCCACGTCTCGGAGGTCCAGCTCCGCGAGCTGGCTCTCGGGCTGGAAGCCTCCGGGAAGCTGTTCTTGTGGGTGGTCAGGGCTGATACATGGGCGCCACCGGAGGGGTGGAGGGAGCGTGTGGGAGACAGAGGGATGGTCGTCACAGGGTGGGCGCCACAGACGGCGATCCTAGCGCACCCGGCGGTGGGGGCGTTCGTGACGCACTGCGGTTGGAACTCGATCTTGGAAACCATATCAGCTGGCGTGCCGGTTCTGACCTGGCCAATGGTGGTCGAGCAATTCATCACGGAGCGGTTCGTGACGGAAGTGCTTGCGATCGGCGAGCGCCTGTGGCCGGAGGGTGCCGGGGTGCGGAGCACGAGGAGCGAGGAGCATGAGCTGATTCCTGCCGAGGCGATAGCACAAGCGGTGACCGCGTTCATGGAGCCCGGCGGAGGCGCGGGGGCTTGGCAAGGTCCAGAGTGAAGGATCTCTCCATGAAGGCACACGCGGCTGTGGAGGATGGCGGCTCCTCTCACCGCGATCTGCGCCGCCTGATCGACGACCTAATAGAAGCAAGAGTGGCTGCTGCAGAGTATAATTCACTAAAAGTATACCCGCGCGTTGCTGCATGATTTTCTTCGAAATAAATCTGTTATATACGTAGCATTACAACTATTTCTATATGGTATTCTGTACATACATATATATATATATGAATTTGATTTGCATGTCATTTTATTATATCAGATCTGGTAAAAAATCGGTAAGCTAGTAGAAAAAAATCAATAGAATATTTAATTACATTATAGAGGAATAAATGATGAAACAAATAGTGTATGTATATGATTTGTAAGTTAATAGATTAAAGATTTAAAGTATTTCACATGATAGAGATGCCATGGATATTTTTTATAATTAATAAAGGCTGACATGGACTTAGTGGGGAATGATGTGGACCCCTTGCATGAAGAGATAGAATAGGTCACTTATTAGTGGGGAATGATGTAGACACCTTGTATAAAGAGAAAAATCATTTAGAGGGGTTTAACTTTATAAGAGTATATGATTAGGGTATTTGCAGAAAAGTGTGGATGCCCCGGTTCATGTATCTCGCCATGACGCCATGTACAATGTGTCAATCCTGCTACTACCGACACTTCTTTTGAGTGTGTGCGTTTGGGAAATTCAATAGCAGTTATCAGCGGATACACTGTTTACTAGCGGCAGAACAGTGTGTCCGGAACAGAACGTCTCGGCCGGTGTCTCCATCACTCTTCTTTTCTATGTCAACGCGAAGGCAACGTACAGATTAGTTTATGTGAGATCGGCAGATTCACCGTCAGGGCACACTCAACGGTGGCTACAAGAAACATTGGCCTCGGCGAAAAGCGGTCATCCAAGTAGCTCTGAATGGACGGAGCCATCAATTCTCATAGCCCAAGCCACACGTATTTTCTGGGCCCATCGTACTTCTCTCTTTCTAAACGTCGCTATCAGGCCATTATTTTTCTAAATCCAACGGCCAATCTCACGGTGTTCTCTAACTGCTTTGCGTCCTTTTCAGCCCAAACCTATGCTTTTTCTGGCGAGGCCATAGACTCCTATGCAAGACAATACGACACATTGCGAAGCCACCTTCAGCCTGTCTCTCTCCTCCGTCTGTTTATCCGAGCCTACGTACCTCTGCACGGCTAACATACACGCTGGCGCGTTGGGCATGGCCTCACGCCCAGATATCTTCCTACACCAACTCACCTGCTCCCCACGTCACACAGCAATTGCTCACTGATTGCAGAAAAACTAATCAGCTACAGCCTGACTTAGAGTGATGTGTTTCTTCTCCCTAGGGTTTGTCTGGGCTTTGACAGCACTTCAATCTATCCACTATTTTTCCATCTAATCCCTTCTGATCATGTGGATTGAGGATTTTTTTTTTCGAAAGATCGTGTGGGTTGAGATGGGCTAGGGTGCAACCAAATAAGGCCGTAGGTGTTAATTAGATACACAAAGCAAGCCTCAAAACACAAGTGTTCGATTACAAATGCTTCTGCCGTGTCCAATTGTAGTGCTGATCACCGTCATTCGCAGACCACATTAGTGCTTTCTTCTGAAGATATTGTCAAATGAAACGCAGCACGACTGCCTGAGTGAACACTGAACAGAGTAGAAAGTGAAAATTCCGTCACTGCTTTTGACTTCTGAGTCATCAACAAGGCATTAGGCATTAGGCAACAGCACATTGAGCCACACAATGACACAAACAAAAGGTAGGTGAGCAGAGCAGGTGAAGATCAAGAACAGAAGCAACCACCTCCACTGAAAAACTACAAACATGATTCAGTCTTGAGAATGTCTCACCGACTTCCTTGGCAGCAAGAGCATTTGGATGTCTCTTCCTTCACACAATCGCACCTTGTTTCCCTAGGTTGTCTCCCAAGCTAGAAATTTAACCCATCCTGGAAAACAATAAGTATGTTATAGCTGTAGTTGCGGCCGAACAGAAAGAAAACTAAAAAGAAGATAATGCTTGCTTGTTGCTTGATCGTGATCGCAAATTCGCAATTCTGTTAACATGACATGAGAGATCAAAAAATGAGGAAAAAAAGAGAGTAAAATGCACAAGAGGTCTATTAACTTTTGAAAGGGTGTTATATAGGTCCATCAACTCTCAAACTGTATTTTTTTGTCCTTAAACTTTTTAAGTGACCCACTGCAAGTCCATACCCCATTCGTTTATACAGAAAGCTCCCTCCATTTCTTTTTCTTTCACATGCTTACCCCTCTTGTCTTCTCAGCACACAGGGCTGGCTGGAGAGCGCACCGAGCTTGCATGGCGGCATGCAGTTCGAGCAAGCGGGACAGGAATATGTGTGCCTCCGATCCTCTCCTGCCTCCCTCCCTCTCGCACGCACACGACGTCGTACGTGGCAGCTAGCATCACGACCGCTGCAGCGTAGCACAGACGACGATCGACGACATGGCGGCGGCAGCCTTCTTCGCGCATGGCGGCGGCGCTCGACGGCGCGGCGGCGCTGGTAGTGGCGGGCGCCGTCGTGCTGGCGGTGTCGTCGTCGTCCGGCAAGGACCGCGCCATGTGCGCGGACCGACTGATGGGCCTGACGACTTGCCTGACGTTCGTGCAGGACAAGGCGACGGCGCGCTCGCCCATGCCCCACTAGCTGCCGCGCGGGGCTCAAGCAGGTGGTGGCTCATGCCCAGCACCGGCCCGTAGGCACCGTACACACACTACGTACCTCGCGGTGCACGGCAAAAGCTAGCTAGCTAGGGCCATGCACGCCGACTAATATAGGCAAGGTCGTCCGGCCGGCCGGCCGTGTGCACAGTAAATCGTTGCTCCTGGTGGACACGACATTTTTGAAGTTACAACAGCCCATGTACGTGCTATAGTATCAGTACCGCTGAACAGCAGTATTGACGGTCGGTTTGGCGACTTACATGCGTATCAGCAATCCGAACTGGAGTAGAGAGAGAAGTGGCAGTGTCAATAAACTTCTGAAAAAACAACTCACCAGCGCCGCATGGCCCATCTGCCGGTCCGCGCACATGGCACGGTCTTTGGCGAAGTCCGCACGGACCACGTCGATCGACGACGACACCGCCAGCACGACGGCGGCCGCCACCACCAGCGCGCCACCGCTGCGCGCGAAGAAGGCTGTTGCTGCCATGTCGTCGATCATCATCTGTACTACCCTGCGGCGATCATGCTGCTAGCTGCCGCGTACGACGTCGTGTGCGCGCGAGAGGGAGGCAGGCATGTCCCTGTCCCGCTTGCTCGATCGCACTCCATGCTCCCATGCAAGCTCAGTGCGCTCTCCCGCCAGCCTTGTGTGCTCAGGAGACAAGGAGAGGTTGGCATGTGAAAGAAAAAGAAATGGAGGGAGGTTTCTGTAAAATATAAACATAAACAAAGGGGTATGGACCTATAGATTATTTTAAAAGTTTAGGAACCCAAAAATACAGTTTGATAGTTGATGGACCTAAATGATATTATCTCAAAAGTTGATGGACCTATGGTGCATTTTATTAAAAAAAAAAGTCTCACAAGCATGCATTTTCTGGATCAAATCCAGCATGTGAAGTTTCCTGAAACACAAATACATTCCTGAACAATAACACGACAGCAGATGTTTCACACCTCTGAAGATTGAGAGAGACAGAATTGCGTATACTGTTTCTGCTGCTGGCATGCTCCAGTCCAGATTGGAGACCCGTAAACAGGGAGAAGTTGCAGGCTGCTATGCTAGGATATTTTTGCGAAAGACAACAAAGGGTTTGCTTTAATATCATACTAATAAGAAAAAATGAAACGGCAAATCTCTGTCAACCAAGCTGCAGCACCTTAAAACAACATGCTAAAGTTACTGAAACGGGCTGCCTAAGAGTCACGATTGGAGTTCGACATGGCCAACTGGTGCAAACATGGCCAATCGATGCAACTGGATACCCTCCTTGATCATATAAGCTAAAATCAAATTTAATCAATATAAACAGCAGATTCTACTTGTTTACTTCCACTTTTTTATTTTCAAAATAAGAGATAAGTAACGGTTTCAGATCTCTTTAAAGAAGAGACATTCAATCCACAATTATTACAAACACAAATCTAAACCAAACAAAATACGTTCAACATTATTGCCATCCACGGGACGAAAATAATTGCGTAACATTTGAAACCTGAAAACAGATACAACAGGACACCACAAGAGCTTAAATCAAATGGAAAGAACTGGCCCTGCAACAGCCGTTCCTGCTTCCATGAGATCATCAATCATGCGGCGCAGATCACGGTGGGAAGAGCCGCGTTCCGCCATGGCTGCACGAGCCTTCGCTGAGAGCTCCTTGACTCTACTCCTCGCTGCATCCCCAGCCCCTCCGGGCTCCATAAACATGGACAGCGCTCGTGCCACTGCCTCAGCAGGGACCAGCTCATGCTCTTCAGACCTCGTGCTTCTCACCCCGGCACCCTCTGGCCACAGCCGCTCTCCGATTGCCAGCACTTTCGTCACGAGCCTCTCTGTGATGAATTGCTCGAACACCATAGGCCATGTCAGCACCGGCACGCCAGCCACCACCGTTTCCAGGACCGAATTCCACCCGCAATGCGTCACGAACACACCCACCGCAGGGTGCGCCAGTATCACAGTCTGCGGAGCCCAGCCGGTGACGACCATCCCCCTGTCCCCAACACCTCCTTCCACCCTTCTGGTGGCACCCATGTCTCCGATCTTATCACCCACAGGAATTGCTTCTCAGAGGCCTCTAACCCAAGAGCAAGCTCACGGAGCTGGTCCTCTGAGACGTGAGTCAAGCTCCCAAAGCATAAGTACACCACAGACTTGGATGGCTTCTTGTCCAGCCAGTCGATGCACCGTGAGTCGTAGGCGCTGGTTGCCACCTGCTGTGACGGCAATGACAGGGGCCCGACAAAGTAGGCTCGCTTCACGTAACCATTGCCTACGAACATCTCACAGTGCCTGTGCTCCAAATCAAAGAACGTGTTAACAACAAGTCCGAAGCATCGCTTGTGCGCTGAGCTTACTGGGTTGCCTGTGGCACGACCATCGGTCATTTGTTGCCTCCTAAGCATCTCGGGTAGCTCGGTGGTTGGGACCTGAATTTCTGGCGGTGGAAACCCCGGAAGAGTCACCACGCCGCCGCCGGCGTCGATGGCACCGGCAGCAGACAAGTTAAACATGGCCAGCGTTGGGAAGGTCCCGATGGCGTGGAACGTGACGCATGGCACGCCGATGTCAGTGGCGACATCGACGTTCCACCAGAAGTGTATGTCGGTGATGACGAGGTCCGGCGAGTGCTCCCTGATGAGACTCTCTTGCCCTGGCCGCATCAGCTTCTCATCCATGGCGACGGAATCGATGCGCCAGGCGTCGGTGGCCTTGACCGTGGAGTGGTTCTCCACTCCCGGTGGAAGGCCGTCCACGGATGGGAACGGGTAGGTGGCCACCTTGACCGTGGCCTGATGACTGGCGCCACCCCGGGCGAGAGCTGACTCGACGACCAAGGCGTTTGCCGGAGTGACTGCAACGGCGGCCTCGACGTCGTGAGGCCTGGCCGCGACGAGGTGGAAGGCGAGGTCCGTGAAGGGGCCGATGTGGCTGGTAGCAAAGAAGGGCATGAGAAGGATGCGCAACTTCTTTCTCGGCTTAGCTTTGGCTGTGGCCATTCCCTGCAGTTTGTGGTGGTTCGATGATTTGGTGTTTGGGAGAAGGAAGAATGATCTTGGTTCATGCAAACGGACAAAAGCTTCAGCGCGTCAATCTCGTTGCATATTTATATCTAGGACCGTGCTATTTAGGGCGCAGCGTGCAAAATAGTATTTGACGCGTTGTTGGCTGGCAACCGAAGCTCCCGTGAGGTACTCAGCTGTAAAAACGTGCAGTATAAAATCGAATCGAAAACCAACGATGGTTTGATTTTCATCCTCGATTCATGCAAGGGTGTCCACCGGATAGCAACCGGCGCTCCGGCAATGTCCACTGCCGTAAATACATGAAACACACCGGCGACGCTAGGCCCCCGTAACAATAAAATGGATACTCAAACCCGCGACAAAGATAGCTCCCGCTAAAATTTGACCTTCAGCTCCGGCTAAAATAGCTCCAGCTACGATTTCTTTCATGAAATTTGTTTTTTCTAACTTATCTTGTAAAAAAAAGTTTAGTAAAATAATTTTTCTCGTGGTTGAAAACATTAAATGTCTATAATACCCTTCTTCTTTTTCTTTTTTCTCTTGTTATTTATTTTCTTCCTTATTTTTTTATTCATGTTCTCTCTCCACTTTATCCGGACGCCTGGATGCCACCGGTGCCTTTGCCTTTGCATCAGCCTCCGCCCCTTTAGTCCCGCATTGTTTTCACCCTGCTCAGCTCCTCGAGCGCCAACGCACCCCTAGGGCAAATTGGATGACCGCCGCGCACTGACCCCATAGGAATAAAAGGGGGCCGGGAGAGGCTCCTTTTTCTAGCTCCCATTCTCTCTCCTTGGGCTTCTCTCAGCATAGTTTTCGAAGCTTCAACTATGTAGGTTTCGACGAGGAACATTTGGTTACCATAGTCGCGAAGCTGTTCGTGGAGCGCTACCAAAATACGGTCGAAGTCATATTGTGTGATTTTTGGTAGATTCTTGGTTTTATACGGTACCTTGGCTCTTTTTCCATGTTTGTGTACTACTAGTAAATGTGCCCGTGCGTTGCAACGGAAAAATGTTATAAACTATTTATGTTCTTTCTTTTTTATAAAATTTGAGATCTATAATTTATTTTTTAAAGACATCTAAAATATAAGCAAATGTGGACACAATAATATGATTAGTGTATAATTAAGAGTGTATCAAATTAAAATATGATCTAGATTTTTTTGGTCTTGTTGCTAAGCATAAAAATATTAAATTGTCCGTGCTTTGCTACGGGAGAGAAAAACAATCCCTGCACATCAAATGGAGCAATGCAGGCTGCCACTGCCAGCGATGATTTTCGTGTCTGTTTGGATGGCAGCCTGCCAGGTAGTTGCCTCCAAGGCAAACAATCCTGTCATCCTGGCTATATGTAGACAAAATCGGACGTCTGGTGTTGTTGCCTTAGGCCAGACAAAGAATCTTAGCGCGTGTTTTTTTCACGAATTTGGAATTTGAGGTTAATGTAGCACGTTCGTTTTTATTTGGTAATTAATGTTCAAACATGGACTAATTAGGCTCAAAACGTTCGTTTCGCAATTTCTCACCAAACTGTGCAATTAGTTTTTTTTTTCGTCTACATTTAATGCTCTGATGTATAGGCCGTAAACATTCGATGTGACAGGTACTATATCATTTTTTAGGATTTTGGGTGAAACTAAACAAGGGCTTATGCCATCACCCAAACAGACCCTCCATGCCGCTTACGCACACGCGTGTGCGTGCTCGTGGAAGCCCCGCTACTCCATCTCGGATTTCGTTCATGGGGAATCCCCTTTTAACATATGTTTGATTTTGTGACGACCTAGAATCGGTAGTTCGGTCTTGATTTTTGAGGATGCATTCGTCCACGTCTTTGCCTGGTTTGAGTGACAAGATGTTTATATCTTTGTTTGGTTGGAAGGATCAAATGCGATACAATGGAATTATCTAGGAGTAATGTTTAATTTTTTAGAAAAAAAAACTAATGTTTTATTGAGTGACGGGGATAGAATAAAACACGTAGATATGTTTTTTTTCTTCTTTCTAAGGGCCAAAGTTTGGGCCTCACGTATCACCCTTCCTACTATACGTATCTTCTATGTGGGTCCAGATTTCACCAGCTTTCTTCATTACAATTGAAGAATGTGGCGTCCATAATCCACAGCCGCCACCTGCAGCTTCAAGCTGGACAGCAGCTGCCGCCGCGTTCGTGCTGTGAAGGATCCAGCCGTCCAGCACTCAGCTTCCAGCAGATTATAGAGAACCAAAATCACCGGCCAAAAAAAAGAGAGAAAAAATCCCTCATCCTGCCCTACTGTCTGCTGCCCACGCCCGCTCCTCGCGAGTCACGACGCATCTCGGCCGGCCGCCCGTCTCGCTTGCGCCGCCCGGCCATCCCTTGCCGCTCACGCCGCCGGCTCCCTCAGGAGCCCGCCGCCATCTCCTCTATCTGCTTCCACCCGGGGCAGCGGCCTCCTCTGGTCCTCCCCAAACCTAGATTGTCGTCCTCTGCTCCGTCCGCTGGATTCTCGTGGGCTCGGAGGCGGCAGCCGCACGAGCTCGGCTCTTGGAGGAGATGGCGCGGCCCCAGGCCGGCATTGATGCACCTGACCACGCGCGCGCAGGGAGAGGCGATGGCGCGGGTACTCGTCGGGGACCAATATTAGAGCACCCGAAGAGAAGGAGTAAATAATCATCAACATTGATTCGTCCGCGCGATCAAGAGCGCGACTACACCGCTTGCCGGGTCTCTTCTCGTCCGACCTTCGAGACCATGGGCCCTGCCTCGTCTGACCCTCGAGGGTTGGCTCCGCCTCGGTGGGCACTGCGGCCGCGGGCCCCGTCTCGCCCGACCCCCGAGGGTTGACTCCGCCTCAGGCCGACTCCCGAGGGCTGGCTTCGCCTCGCCCGACGTCCGAGGGCTGGCTCCGCCTCGCGCCGACGTATGCACGCGACTCCTTCATAACGACGCGCGCAGATATGGCAGGGCACTCAAGTCAACCGCAATACCGATGACCGTACCCTGCACGCCTGCAGGAAAGTACCGTCAGGACATGACAGAAGGGCGCTTTGCGACTTTCCAGGCATGACAGAGACCAAACATTGTTGTAAGCGCCGACATTTGCCTTACAGTGTTGTGGGCGCCGCCATTTACCCTCGGGTACAGATCCTTACGGAAGCTCACGGCAACTACTATGGTTTAAAAGGAAACTCGCATCACCTACAGTAACGGACGTACGGCCACTGCGCCGTCTGCTCCCTGTATGGTCATGGATCAGCACCTTGGTCCGCCGCGCCGCCCGCCGGGGCGGAATGGGACGTGACAACTCGCTGACAATGCCAGAACATGACATCGTCAGCGGACAGACGCCAAGCGCGGCCCTGTCAGGGTTGGCGGACATGCGCCCGGCGTGGAGCAATCCCTGTCACCATTTGCCATGTCATCGGGTTCCCACAGAGGAAAAGGAAGACCCGGCGTCCTTGAAGGATTTCCTTTGTCTCTAGTTTTCCTCTTTTCTCCCATCTGTAATCCCTGCTCTCTCTTGGCCTATAAAAAGGAAAGCAGGGCACCCCACTAAGGGGATCGATTTTATCACATCACACATCACGACACATAACTGAGCAGCAACCAAACTCTCAGCACCCATTCGACCTTTCCATTAGAGACTTGGGACCCGTCCCTCTCTCGCTCGTTTGTAACCCTCTACTACGAACTTTTCAGTGCTAATAACATGAGCAACAGCCACGAATTGGACGTAGCGATATTCTGCCTGAACCAGTATAAACCTTGTGTCTTTTTAGCATATCATCCGAGCTAGACGCGCAATAACATAAATTTACTCATTGGTGTTTACTCGAAACACCGACAGTACCCTAGCCGGCGAGTCCAGAGGCGGCGGCGGGGGCGCCTCGAGCTGCCTGCAGGCACGACCCCCTCTGATGTCCTCTTCGATTCTTTCTCTTATTTCGTCGATTCTTTCTCTGAGTTCTTCTTGGATCGGAATCAATCTTTGTCGATTGCTGTGGAGGTCGACAAAGAATCATCTTTTGTTGATTGTTGTGGAGGTCTGCAGAGGAAACAACAAATTTATTAATTTGATTTTATAAGTTGTCTTTATAGCTAGATTTAGTCTGATTTGGGTTTGGATTTGGATCGATGTGGTGGTTTTGATTCAGTCTCGATTTGGTCCCTTGCACTTTGCTTGCAGATTTGGAAAATCTTCAGTATATAGATTTGGGAGAAATCTAGTTGATTTCGGAGTGTGCATGGTTACGGTTTGGGCATCGTTAGAGATAATGCAGAGGCCAGACGAACACACGAAAATTGATTTCTATTTCTATTGTATTTCTATTTGGGTTCGATTCCAGAATTAAAATCACCTATCTCGGTCTCCAACTCTACGACGACGTTTGTTTGGTACAGCTAGGCAAATAAATAGGCCAGACAAAAAAAAATCCAGACCAAAAATTAAGCTGAATTTTTGCCTCTTTACTATTAAGAAGGTAGAGATTTCAATCTCAGTCTAGACCAAAGTTCATCTATATTTATTGATATAAACAGTGGGTCTTTGATCAAAAAATATAAACAGTGGGCCCTGACAGTTTATGTTAAAACAAGTCAACGGAAGAGTAGACATGCAAGACATAGTTATCAGCCTATCAAAAAAAAGACATAGTTATCAGTAAATCCACGAGAAAAAACTTAATTTAAGAAGTTACTCATATAAAATTCTTAAAATTAAACCTATTGCTGGTTCACACACAACCCACCGAGATGGTTGTGTTGCCAAGAGAGACGATGAATGAGTGTTCAGAGTTCACTGGTTAAAAGTCCCGATCATGCATGCATGTCTGCTTAAAAGTCTCGATCAATCTCTTTTTCTATGTTCCTGCAAGGAATGAATGAAGAATATTTAAAAATATTCTCACTGTCACAGATCACCACTACTGACCGTGCAAAACCCACAACAAAATTCGTCCTAATGGCCCTGTCATCCTCTCTCAAGAGCA